CATTCAGGATGTTGCTTTCATTCCGAGATGCAATGGCAGATTCATGAGAGACTCATTAGTCTTTCGGGGCTCAGCTATTTGGAATGTAGTTAATTGTAATGATAAAATAGATAATCTAAATTTTAAGGAAATCAAAAGACTATTCACTACTAAGAATATTGTTTTCATGGCTACCTCGTGTGTGAATTCACTCCTCATTATGTATGCAGGAGTGCAGAGATGAAACTGAAATACCAACGGATTCAACCTCCGAATAACAATTTCGTTAACGTACGCTTGACCTGAACCGACTGTTATGGAGGTTAAACAGTATAACCATCATTTGAGAACAAAATGCAACATTTGTGGCATGCCTCACCTCTAGCACAACTTTGTGCATGTGATCTAGTTCACTGGTATACTCAATTGTATGAGGGTCATTACGATATGTCCAAAGAACAGCTGTGCTTGCATGACATGCTTGGGCTATCACTGCACCTGTCGGCCATGACAACAGCCTTAAAAGGTCCCCTCTCACGATAACATATTGAACAAGTTGAGAAGACATTGAAATTACAAGAAGGAGGTCACGTGAATCCTGTAAAGAGGAAGTAATAGATAACAGTGTCAACTGAACTCTTCTGATGTTTATAAGTAAAAATGCCACATTCAGGCTTGACAAAATTTGAATCCAAATGTCCTTTGGGTAAACAGCTCTGACTCAATTTTTGCTTGCCTAGGGCAATTTTTTTTTATAATTCTAGCTTACTTTAGTGGCTACCAATTAGAAGTATTCTCGTGATTCGATCTTAAGAGACTCAGTATGTTCATCATCCTGCAAACAGAGCCTCCTTTTCAGGTGCATTTTAGAGAAATTGGTCACATTTTTCATTATAAATACATTTTAATAATAAAAAACACTTTCCAAGGTTGAAATCCTGTCTAAATGACTCGGAAACCCTGGATAGGGGACTTAAAGGAGTAAAAATCAAAAAAATTTCCTAAGGGTGCCCACCCCTGAACCCCACTAGAAGCTTGCACCTTTGACGCTTGTTTAGGAAATCGGTCAAAATTTATCCTAGATCCACGTCTACTTTTGTCTTCTTGAGTGGGAAGGAAAAAAGGAGTATCTTCCTGAAATACACCAAGGGGGGGAATACTCCCTATGATGGCCTGTATGGGGAAGCTCTGCCCAAAAGGGATGTCTTTTTCAGGCCTCAGGTATATGAAAGGGCAGGGAATTCTACCATCATTTGTATGTAAAAAGGCCCAAAAGGGCTAACAGATGCATTTCATGGCTGTCTTTCTGGTTTTGTGATTAATTCATATTAAAAAGACAGTGCATTTACAGCGGTTGAAAGGTATGTAAAGCTCTAAACATATCTAGGTACGTGAAAGGGGCACCATTTGTCAATGGAAGGTGTACAAAAGGGGTCTCCTTTTCTGTCAAAAATGGTAAATTAAAGGGTAAGGGGTTGGACCTTGGGGCAGAGCAGGATGCAAAGAAAATCATTTTTACAGCTTGCCATTCAGGCAAGCTGAAGCTAGCATTCACTAGCCCAGACGTCATTTCAACTAGCCCCAAAAACTTCTTGACTAGCAGAATTGATTTCACAGTTCTTCTGTTATTCGAATTCCTCCAAAAAACATCACTTGCCCGTCGGGCAAGTTAAAAACAGAATTCACTAACCCGATGGCAAAATCCACTAGCCCCGGGCTATCGGACACTACTTTCTTTGCACACTGGAAGAGCCTCCCCGTATAAAACTTTGTTAACCCCTCTGAGTGTAGTACATACTAAGAACATATTGTTCAGGCCAATTCTTGGTTTGCAACCAGGTGACAAGGTGGCCATGTTGAAGGTCAATACAATAGAATTTTTTCTCGAAGAATTTACACAAAAATAGAGCTTAGTTCCCAGAGGAGACAAATGCTTTTGCCCTTAACCACCAACATGGGCCGGTGATGTCACCTGCAAACCAGCAGTGTCGAGGTGGTAGAAAACAATGAAAAATTGTAAAACTGTCACCCAGAAAAACGATGGTGGTCACTTACCAGAGGTGGCAGTTTACGAGAGTTTCCAACCACGGGAATTTGACTGGGAAATTTTGGTGTTTATGCTAGAGGGTCGCTTATATGGGAGGTGGTCGCTAACCCGGGGGGGCGGGGGGTTACTTTAGGAATTTCTGTGTGAAGATGTGCCGCTGGGACCCTGGAACCCTTAACCTGTACCAGAGCTAGTTCAGCTGAATTTTGCTACCCTATACTAGAGTAAACTCCCCAAATCCCCCCTATCCTAGAGTAGCTCCCTAGTCTACATAAAATCTTCAACCAACTGATCAGTTTCCTGAAAAATGATACCCTATTCTAGACCCAAACGCTCTGGTTTATATACCCTATCCTAGAGTAAACTGCTTGAAAACCGGCATACCCTTCACAGCGGCACATACCTATATAGCCCATATATGGCAGTAACCCCCGCTCCCCTTCCCGAGTCGCTAACTAAGGGTTGTCGCACATGGAGGTTCTACTGCATAGGATCGGTTGGATGTTTTACTAATGGCACGGCCCTACTGATATTCGATGAGCCGCTATAAAACCTAGCATTTTCTGACATTCTGACAAGAAGCAACGGTAGCCCCGTTAAAAAGGACATAATTAAAAGCTATTTCTTTAACTCACCGCATTTCCATGAATCATCTGCAAGAGTTAAACTGCAACGAGAGCCCGCATTACGTTACGCCAAGGTACCCACTTCATGTAAAACAAAAGCTTGTTTGCGCTGATCTTTACTCAGAGTCTCCCACTTCTTATTTGTTTGTTTATTTGTTTTCTGTTTTGTTGTTTTGTTTTTTGTCTTTTTTGGGTGTTTTTTTTTCGGCTCGGAGTCACACGACCTATCTTCATGATACTAAAATTCATGGGATGCGTGAACTAAAAGTCAGCCTAGATATTATTAGCGACTCGTGTTATAAACGGAGAAAATATCCTATGTAACATTAAAGCAGATGTAGTCTTCCAAGTAGGCGTTTAGTCAGTCGTATTTTCTCCCCCACCCTCCCTCCTCCCTCTCTTTCCCCTCATGGCAAGAGAGAGAGCCCTGGGAACGAGATTCAGCAGGAGCCCCTGTCGGAGGGTTTGGAGGAGGGAGCTAGGAGAAAGCTTCCCTTCATATTCAGTGTACCAAAAAACATTAATGAAGACAGGCGAAATTGAAAAAGGTTTGCTTTTTAACTTGTAACGGCGTTCAGCGTAAAAAGTAAACGCAAAAGTAGAAAAGTATTGACATGGCCATGGTGAAGTTTCCCGTAAAAGCCTAGCCAGCGAGCAAGCTCTCCTATTTGGGCGAGTGAAACGAGTCTCAGTCGCGCTTGCCCAAATAGGAGGGCTTACTCGCAGGCTACTATTTCACCAGTTACACGCACCATCACGCAGAACGTGCAACTGCTGTAACATTTTCCTCATCAACAGCACTTTGCGTAAGACGCCAGGCAAATCTCTCTCTTCTTCGATCGCTATGGTCTCTTTGGTACACTGACATCTTCTGAGAAATTACCTTTCGAAGCACAATACGGCTGGGGGCTGGCAGGGCTCCGGCTTTGTCGCTTTGTGGTCTCACCGCGAACGGTTCTTTGCCGCACATGGCGAAAGTTCTCAACCCATAGTTTGTTGTTTGTTCTCTTTTGAAAAAGTCTCTGAGGAGGTAAAGGTGAAATTAGGGTGAAATGAAAGTGGCATGGTAGATTGTGGGACAGGATAGTACGATTTGTCCTGTGTGCAATGTTTGCTGACCGACTCGTTATCCCGGGGGGGGTACTCGCAGAAAAATTGGGTAGGGGTGTGCGGCCCGCTTCCCAAAACCCTTACCCTATTTATGACCAAAATCTGCGATTTTCCCTACCCTATTTATGACCTAACCAAAAATTTGATACCCTATTTTGTGAAGGGCTTTTGTTGCTTGTATTTTCTAGCCTACAAAGCAGCCGGTGGAGAGGAAGGCAAAGCGCGGATGGAAGGAGGGGGACATGATAAGGAAGTAGCTTCTTCTAAAAAAGTGCATTGAAGACTACAGTGCAAAAATCGTTACCCTATTTATGACCAAAATGGCGGCAACATAGCCAAAATCGATACCCAATTTATGACCAAAACGGCTGAAAAACCCTACCCTTTGGGGCCGCACATACCTATATAGCCCATATTAGGGAGTACCCCCCCCCGGGCTCGTTATCCCCTTTAGTAGTCTCCTTGACAATTGTGCCAAAAGCCAAGGCATACTGCAACGCACTAAATGTTTTGGGTTTGTAAGCAGTGTTGAAGATTGACTGTCAACGAACTTAAGGTTTGGCAGGAGCACCCAACGAGAATATAGTTCAAAACCACTTAAACATAGCATTGTTAAACGTATTTTAGTATTTAAACGGTATAGATATAGGCATATTTTTATCCCCTAAAAATTTTTCATCTGTCCGGATTTCCTAGCTGAAAGTCTAGTGATCCGAAAATTATAGGGATCAGAAATTACCTTTTGAAAAATTTGAGCCAGAAAAAAGGCTCCTGAAAAAAACGGGTAAAAATCCGTTAAAAATGGGCAATTATACTATTTTTTAGATGTTCGAAAATCCTAGGAGAGGCAGGCAAGCAAGAAATTTTACAACAAATATTCCGAAAATTCTAGAACTCAATTCGATCTCTATTCGTTGGGTGCCCCTGGCCTGGTCGAGCTTTGTGTAGATCTAGTGGTCCTATCAGGGTTTTATGACTATATCCATGCAAAAATTGGCTTATTTTTTGGAACAAGAACGAGAAGTCCGAAGACTACAGCAAAGCTGATTTAAAACAACGTGTATTGTTTTTTATAACATATTTCGGCTGGCCATACCAGCCTTCTTCAGGTTTACAGATGTTACTGAACTTATGTAGCGATCGCAATATTATATAGATGGAGAATGTCGCAATAAAAGGGAGAGGCGGAAATGACGTACAACATAAAAACTGGAAAGGAAAAATACTAAGGATATGGATTACAATAATTCGTCACGGCGGTTTAGGCCATGAGGTTCAAGAGTCATGGCCTTATCTATCAAATGCGACTCCCTGGCCTTACGAACTGAGTCACGTGAAGAATGAATTTTCTGTAGTGGAATTAACTGCATGTCATCAGTATGAGAGTGGAGAATGGTTAGAGTGAGAGAGAAATTGTTCAGAAACAGTAGTGGGTTTAGATTTATTGTTACTTTTGTCGACTGCACGTCTGTGTTCGTTAAATCTGTCCTTGAGACGTCGCTTAGTTTCACCTATATATTGTAAATTACAACGGTTACATTGAACCATGTAGATAACATTTTTAGTGTTACAAGTAATGTGTGTGAAGTGATGGAGCGTGTTGCATGTTTCACCTGTAGCGTAAAAGGTATAACTTGTTAGGCAGTTAGTAATGTATGGACAAGTGGCACAATTCTGTCCACAGCGGAAGGAGCCCGGCGGAAAATGATTGGTGGAGATACCGGGTAGTTGTGCTTTAACTAAAAGGTGACGAGGATTAGAGCTACGTCTGTAAGCAACAAAAGGCGGTTGCTTAAAGACGTCTTTGCAACGGTTAGAGGAGTGTAAGATGTTAAAATGTTTGCGCAGGATATTAGAAATGTGTGGAAGTGCTGGGTTATATGTGACAACAAATGGTACAACATCGTTAGAAGCTTTGGGTTTAGTCTGTAACGCGTTAGTACGAGAAATATTAGCAGCGCGTAGGAACTGTTTTTCTAGGAAATTATTATTCTAACCACGAGCAAGGAGATATGTTTTAAGTTCATTAATGCGATGCTTAAACTTAGCGTCTGTAGAGCAGATGCGGCGGAGGCGGAGGGCTAAGCTGAACGGAATGGCTTTCTTAGTGTGGTGAGGAAGGCATGATGAGCTGAGAAGGTGCTGATGTTTATCCGTGGGTTTAGTAAATAGATCAGTTTCAATTATACCGTTATGTAGAGACACCATGACGTCGAGAAAAGGAACGTTACTTTTTAGTACGTGAGTGAGAGCTAGTGAACTTAATAGTGGGATGAATGTTATTGAGATAATCGACGAATATTTTCAAACGATCTGAACCTTCTGTCCAGATCATGAAAATATATCATCGTGCAGTCCACAAAACTAACATTAAATCTAAACCCACTACTGTTTCTGAACACTTTCTCTCTCACTCTAACCATTCTCATACTGACATGCAGTTAATCCCACTAGAGAAAATTCATTCTTCACGTGACTCAGTTCGTAAGGCCAGGGAGTCGCATTTGATAGATAAGGCCATGACTCTTGAACCTCATGGCCTAAACCGCCGTGACGAATTATTGTAATCCATATCCTTAGTATTTTTCCTGTCCAGTTTTTATGTTGTACGTCATTTCCGCCTCTCCCTTTTATTGCGACATTCTCCATCTATATAATATTGTGATTGCTACATAAGTTCAGTAACATCTGTAAACCTGAAGAAGGCTGGTATGGCCAGCCGAAATATTGTTATAAAAAAAACAATACACGTTGTTTTAAATCAGCTTTGCTGTAGTCTTCGGACTTCTCGTTTATATTTTGGCTGATTTGATCTCTTTTCTAGAGATCCAACGTTTACAACTAGCAGGATCTTCGTCCACGGTTTTTGCAGTTAATTTAGTCCTTTAGTTTTTGGAAATTTTTCAGAGGAAAACTAATCTCAGCTGACAGTTGCTCAAAGAATCTCAGCTATCAGTTGAAAACTTATTGTTTCTCAGCCAACAGTTAAAATTTTGGCCAATTCTCCGTCCGCTATCAGTTAACCCCATCAACACCCTCTTGAATGGAGGTTAAATCCAGGTTTTGGGACCCAGAAAAAAAGTGTTCCTGTCCCCGGAATAGAGGAGTCCCTTCAAAATAGACAAAGGGACAAAGATTATAAGAAGAATTTTTCGCGACCAAGCTGTGTCCCCTGATTGGAAGTGTCCCTTGTACAGAGGTGTACCAAAGGAAAGGTTCCGCTGTAGCTAGACAAATTTGAATCAAGGCATACTGAACGGGACTGGCCTCATATTTTGAAACTTCGAGGTACCCGGGGTACCAATAAGGCGAATGATAACAAACTTATGGGTGATTTCCGAAAAAATATCCTGCAGACTGATTTCGAGCGAAAAAGAAATCCTGCAAAGAAATGGCTTTGTATATCACGGAAAAAATTATATCGCCAGAAGTTTGGGACACAAACCAAACCGCCCATACGTACCCACCGGCCTCAAAAGTCAAATGGCCGGCCCCTAATTTATGCGGCTATGAAATACGTCACCAGTTTCCACGGCGATACTGGACCCCCCGCAAGTGAATCTGCTGAAGCACGCCTTTGCTGCCATATTGGATAGTAACTTAAATTTTATCGTAAAGGTTTGAAAGACCGGCAGCTGATCCGCGTTAGTTTATAGCTTTGAAAACAATGCCGTCCAGGGAAGAGTTGGTAGAGAAGGCAAAGCTTGCTGAGCAAGCAGAGAGATATGAAGATATGGCAGAGGCTATGAAGAATGCAGTTGAAGAAAATCCTGTCCTTACTGCCGAGGAGAGAAATCTACTTTCTGTAGCCTACAAGAATGTGGTTGGAGCTAAGCGTTCCGCGTGGAGGGTGGTCGAAGCCATGGAGCAGAAACACTCAGCAACGAATGATGATAAAGTTCATCTCATAAAGGATTATAAGGAAAAAGTGGAGAAAGAATTAAACGAAGTCTGCAAGGAAGTTCTGGTAAGTTCGCACCCCTTCTTGCTTGTCTTTCCTAGTCTAGTCAAGTATTCTGTAAGCTCTTAGTAATCGCTCGTGGTCTCTGGAGGTGTTCTTTTCATGAAGGAAAGCTTAATCCCTCGATCGAATTAAAATGTTGTGGTAATCTGGATTCTTACGTTAAAGGATTTGCTGGATCAGGAAAAGGACCCTTCTCTCATCAAATGTGCTGCTGATGATGCAGAGGCGTACATTTTCTACCTGAAGATGAAGGGAGATTACCTGAGATACGAAGCAGAGGTTGCAGATGAAGGTAGAAGGAAAGGTACGTCAGCTTGTAGAGATGCTTTTGGGAAAAAATAGCTGGATGAATATAGTCATATACGCATACCTTGTGATTTTCGAAATTAAGTTTTTAAATTATTTTTAATCTGTCCGGGTTCTCAAGTCTTTCTGAAAGCTTTGCTTTAGTTCGCTGTTAATTTTACACATTCACTCACTGACAGTTTGTGATAAATATCTTCCGTGCTTCACGTGCTCGAGTTCGACATGATGACCACTTCAAGTAATTAGCCAGCAATAAATTTTACAGTTAAAAATATCAGTAAATAGTCCTGTGTGAAGCAGTTAGTACAATTTCTGCGGCTATCTATAGGATTTTGATCCTTAATCTGACAACTAACTGAATAAAAGTAGCCATTTTGAGGCCACTTTTATTTTAACTTAATATGGCCTGTCACATACCATTTTAAAATTAATTAAATTTTCTACAAGAGTGTTGGTTAGGCTAGTTTAGGCTGAAAAATTTATGGCTTGCATCATGTCCCCCTTTGCCCTCAAAAGAAGAGACATCACTATCATCTTTAACATCATTGACAATCGTGGCGACTTCTTTTGCAGCATATGAGATCTTGTCTGTCTTCCTGCCATGTTGTTATCCCTTTCTTAACAATTTTAAGCCAAAAATGACTTGTTTTTAAGCTAAATTTTAAGATTTATACAGCTACACCATACTCTTGTGGACATTCAGAGTGAAAGGTCCAGGAAAAAAATGGCAAATTCAAGTGAAATATCAAGGACAACTGAATGAAAAGAATTTAGCAGATTTATAAACAACTACATACATAAAAACAAGATGAAAGGCTACCTTGACATTAATTCCTTTCATACAACAGGCATTTTTTGTCCATGATGTAATACATGCAGATAATCTTGCCCTGGTCAGATTGAGGGTTAAACCAAGTCAACTAATAATTCATGATATACTGCAATTTACTTACATCCTTCCCTTGATAACCTTTACACTTGAATATTAGGTGCCTGAAATAAACCTGACATTGTTATATAATAGACATTCATAAAAGCCAGAATTTTGGCTACAGGTACATGAACAGCCCCCTGATTCAACTTAGTAGTTCATGAATGATCAACATCTATAACCATCATAAAAAGCTCCAAGTGCCTGACTGCTGATGAAGTTGCAGAACCCAAACAGTGGTGATAAAGTGAAGTTGTTCATGGTCGTTGTTTTATGGCCTTTTGTTTTGATATTGACCAATCAAATCAAAGGATAGATTAACGCTTGAGTGAGTCCACGTGACCTTGGGCCTTGGGGTTTCTAGGATTTTGGCTAGTTTTTAATATGCTTTGGGAGATAAATTGCATGACTATAACAAGATTTCCTGTGACATAGAATGGTGACTTCTTTGTAAAACTACACCTTCATAAGTTGTGTATGACATTTGTGCCCTTGCTTTTTGCCTTAAAATAGTACATGATGTAAAATAATTGGTTCAGCGAAAGGAAATAGTACAACATCGCACTCAGACTCGCATTTATTAAAGTTTAACCAAAACTGACAAAAAGTGGTTAATCGATTGTACAGACACATCAGGGCTCAAAATAACAGACAGCAGGTCGCCGGTCATGATGACCGGCCAAATATTTTTTAGCCCGGACAAACCCCGATTTTGGCCAGTCAGATAATGAATATTACTATAATTTTTTTTGTCAATGGAGTATCGAATAACGCTTGCAGTAGATCGTTGTAGTGCATTGGCATTCAGGTTTTTGGCGAAAAGTTGGTGAAAAATTCATTTACACATTGCTGAGTTGCTTTCCGTGGTTTTCGCCCGTTTTCACGTCCATTTATGTATACCTTGAGTATCATTGTACAAGGGTGTCCTTAAGCAGGGTGCAAAGAAAATCATTTTTACAGCTTGCCTTTCGGGCAAGCTGAAGCTAGCATTTACTAGCCCAGACGTCATTTCAACTAGCCCCAAAAACGTTTCGTTCTTCTGTTATTCAAATTCCTCATAAAAAATCACTTGCCGGTTGGGCAAGTTAAAAACAAAATTCACTAGCCCGATAGCAAAATCCACTAGCCCCGGGCTATCGGACAGTACTTTCTTTGCACGCTGCCTTAAGTCTCCAAGGTTCGTCCTATATCTGCCATATCAGTGAAACTTGATCTTTTTTGTTGTCTGGCACGTGACCGAAAGTCTGCTCCATAAAGAAGAAACGTCGCTAAATATTTCCGGCAAAGAAGTTGATTTGGCAAGAAATTTGTTCCACAAACAGCGTATTTATCATCAGAAGTCAATAAATGTACAGCAGAGCTTTCTTTTGGGTCGTCGTGCAACACTTTATCATGAAGGGCTCATTAACGTGAACAGAAACGTGCATAAAGCTATTTATTTAAGCGCCGAGATAGGCGACATTCGTTCTCGATTAGCTTAGTTTTTATCAGACAATTCTGGAATCGAGTCCGCAAACGAGATTCATGTTCGACATAGAGAAAGTATTATAATTAATCGATGCGCTGAATTTTATTTTTTTATTTTTAGAAACAGTACAGGACGAGTGATCGATTTGACCGAATTCCGTCGAAGGTGATTTTCACAATCCTCTTACAAGTAGATGTGAAGCGTTTGATGGACAAAAACTGTTAGCTGTCCTTTAGTTTTCTAACAAATAACAAATTATCGTTAGTGTATGTTCTCCCAAAGAAGGTCACATTACTGTTCACAGCAAAGCAGAATGTACGATATGACCTGCTGCATCGTTGCGTTACTCCACAACCCAGTTTGTTGTTGTTTCGCTTTGTTGCATTTCATTACGACGTGACGACTGAAATTTATTGCTGCGTTCTTTTTCTTTAAAGGGTTTAGTGCAAAGCAGCAAAAAAAGCCAAAGAAAAAAGAAATCATTACAGCCTTATAGAGCGAACGCATTACGCGACAACTATATGGAAAATATTATAAAATGTTCGCATCCAAAAATGACCGGTCAAAATGACGGGCAAGACGAGAGGTTGACCGGTCAAGTGCACGATCAGGCCGGACATTGTCTGTTGACTGGCCGTTATTTTGAGCCCTGAACGTCCTTGACTGAGTCAAAAATTTACAACAATCGCTTAAGTGAAGCTAAAATTAAGAAGTTACATATTTTGGTCAAATGCTAAAAAATCACACCTATCAAAGCAAAAAGAATTGTTTCCTAAAGCTGTGAATATTTCTTGATCAGTTTTCAGATCCGTAGACAAGTCAGCATTTTGGTTGCAGGATATTGACATCAGTACAGCATTAATAGTATCGATGAAATGAACCTAATGGTCCTATTCATGATTAATTGAGAATTCAATCAGTCATTACACCGCTAATGTTGGATAGAGATTTATTTGCTGGATAGCATTATCCACCTTCTTACAACTGGGTCTAGAAGTTTACACTTTTCACTGGAAATTGTAATAAGAGACTGCACATGTTCATGTAACGACTGTTTTGTTTTCAGAGGTGATAAATGAATCCGATGAAGCCTACAAAGAAGCAAATCAGAAAAGTGAGGAAAAACTACCCCCCACACATCCTATTCGACTAGGACTGGCACTTAATTACTCAGTCTTTTATTATGAAATCAAACAAGATTCTGAGAAGGCTTGTGTAATGGCAAAGAAGGTCAGTTGTACAGTTAAACAGTACCCTGGGGTTTCAATAAAAAAATAAAGTAGACAGCAGGTTTGAATAGAGTAACCGATGGATGGTAACAACCAGGGGCCTGTAGGCCCCTTCTTCTAGGGGAGTCTGGGGGTTTGCTACCCCCTTAAAATTTTCAAAGTTTTACAGCCCTAAAATGCAATTTCCAGCTTTCTGGGCACCTAGATTGAGTTCAAAAGTTCAAGGAAGATTTCTTCTCAGCAGTTATTGTGTATAATAATACATTTCCTGGAAAACAATGAATAATTGTTGATTTTGGTTGTAAAGAATAGGGGAATACTAAGAGATCAAGAAGGGGTAATAACTTTCTTCCCCTGAAATGGGGGGAGGCTCATCTTAGACCCAGGGGCAGATAGTGGGAGCGAGGGAAAGTCTAGATGGTTGGAATAAATGGCGCAAAGAAAAGTAAAGAATGGGGAGGAGAGCCCCTGGGGACATGGTTCCAGACAGTTGCAGTCTTTTTGGCTTCTGATTGGTGCCAGAAAATGTTTGTGTTTTTCTGCCCAATAAGAGTGCAGCAGTCCTTGGAGTCGCAAAGTACATGAAGTTTAGCTGTTCTCCATGTATATCTAGGCTGTTCACAATGTCAGAACATGACATGAGGGAAAACGTTCTGAACATCTGCAATGATCTCACCGGTTTTGGATCTTTCGCAGGTATCATAACAGAAGCCTATGTAAAAGTTTGTGAAAATATTCTCTCACATACTGATGTGTTTTGGACACAGGGAGATCTATTTTTTGAAAAGCCTACTGGCAAGGTGGACCTGAGTGAGCATGGCTCTTTATTCTGAAGTTGCTCCACTTGTTTCATGATTTCTTGGATCACGTACTTGTTGTGACTAAAACTTTGGCAATCCTGGGAATTTTTTTGCTGTGGCAGGTGTGTTGAGTGACTTGCAACCACACCTACAATGTATCTACGCGACTTTCTTTCTGTGCCAGAAAATGAAAACCCCGGCTGGGTATATTTCCATAGTTTTGCCAAGTGTGCTGAGTCATTCTCCCTTAAACTAAATCTAAAACTAAATATTTATTGATAGCATCCAAAGATTTGAATGTTTATGTTGTAAAAATTATCAGATCCACATTCAGTAAGATGAAGTATCCTACTTTTGAGCTAATGTTACATGTCGCTTCATTGTTGCGAAACCACCAGGCTTTGCAGCAGACTAATTCAGGTTGCGTACTTGACCAGGCTGGGTTAACTGTGCACGATACCATCCGCTTTTGAGCTTTCTTGGATGTAACTATGTTTGTACAGGCTGTCATTAAGAGCCAGGGGCCGGGAATTTCCCCCGGCTACTATGAATGTGGTCCCTGGCTACTTTAATTGGAAAATAGAAGAAAAACAGAACCAAAAGAAATCGCTAGCCATTTGATTCCCTGCCTACTTGTTGTATATGTTGTAGTTAATTTTTTAATCTCAGTTAATTTTTATTTTTCCATTGTTTTTGGCTATGGTAATGTCTGCTAATGAATTTTTTAACAAAAAAAAAAAAGGAAATTGAAATAATAATAATAATAATAACATTATTATTACTATTATTATTATTATTATTATTACTACCACTTTTCTTCGCACCATTTTTTCCACCCGTTTCCCTTGCCCTCTTTATTTGCCTCTGGGTCTCCGAGGATGGGGGGGTGGGGAAGGGGGCTTATTTGAAAGGGGGTTTAAGCAAGAGAGTGGTGAAGTGAGCTCACCAGTTACCTAAGGTTTTTTAGTTAGGTACCTATTTACTTCTTATTTACTTTAATGCCTAGAAGACATTGAAAAGTAAGCTGACCCCATAAGGCACAATATGGCTATAGCTTTCTAGATTTCTAACATTCTCCAGACCAGTATCCTTCAGCAGTGTGTCTTTGTATGTGGTTATAGGACATCCTCTTTGAGCCCTCCCATTTTTCATGACCGTTGGTGTCCATGTTATAAGCTGTTGGACTGGAGAGCTCTTAGAGTGATTTTCGTATGACCTTGAAATGAAAATGTCCAAACAAAACAGAAACAACAAACAAACGTAAATGGAGCGATTTGATTTGGTTATAGAACGGATACAAATACACATGGCCTTTGGTTGGTTAAGCGAACGCTTGGGTGCAAAAACTTCTTGCCCGAGAACTTTCTAGAAATCAATCGATACTTCTCTTTCACGCCATACTGCAACATGATTGGCCAATCAAACAATGCCTTCTCCATATTAGGGTTTTCTTTGGCAGGAAAACGAAGAGTCTACGTTTTGATCTTTTCATCCATTGGCTGATAAAACAAATAACAAACACTTACTGAAACCAGTTTTCAAGGTCATGCAAAAATCGCTCTATCGTTAAAAAAACATGTCTGGATGGTGCAATTCTTCTATTCTGAATGGTAGTGGTCACCTTTTCTAAAACTACCCTAAAGCTCACTATTTGTAACCTTGTTTAGTAGTTAAGTAATGACTAATTCAACATGGTTGCCACAGGTCAGGAAATGGTCAGGGGCGAAAAAAAATTCTTCAGGGTCAGGGAAAAGTCAGGAAATTTTACTTCAAGTCAGGGAAAGTTAAAGTCTTTGAAAAAAGTCTCTGAAAAGTGAAATTTTAAGAGTACATTTTATTCTTTCCGCTGTACTTTTGTTTTTTTCTAACATTTAAAATTCTTTTGTACGATTTACACATGTTGTGTCGGTAGAATATCGTTCACGGAATTCATGTTGAGGAACTATCAATTCATTTACACTGCAGGTGACTCACTGAAAGCATAATTAAATGGGGGGAGAGGATGGCTATAAGGGATGGGTCGGGTCCATCATCTGGACTCATTTGTTGAATTGTTAATTAGCTGGACAGAGAAAGTTTACGTCTGTCAGGAAAATGTCAGGGAATTTCTGAAACCTTTGGCTGTAGCAAGCATGTTCAAGCTGCCGATGTAAAATAAATAAAGACCTATTATCTTTTAGGCCTTTGATGATGCTATTGCTGAGCTTGATTCACTGAAAGAGGACAGCTACAAAGATAGTACTCTTATAATGCAACTACTGCGTGACAACTTGACTGTAAGTGTAGAGTAATAATTTTGAGGTGCATTGATTTGATTGGGAAGTCTGGATTTAGAGTGTAATCAAGTGCAAAATCCCAAAACAGATTTCAACTTCGAGAAATCCATCCTCGAGGTGGATTTCAGTGAAGAAATCCAACTCTGGATTTGCTAGATTTCCTTCTTAACCCGTTTGATTGGGAAATCCATAAAAGGATTTGCAAAACTGTTCTTGTAAACAATGGTCTTTTGGATGCCAGTAAGTGCGAGCCCGCTAATCTTAAAAACAAATCCATTTTCAGATTTCCCAAAAAGAAGGAAAGAAAGGAAGTCCAAGGACAGATTTACCAGTGCTGAAATCCGTTTTCGGATTTTGAGTGTGAATGCCAATTTGAATTTTGGATGTTAAAATTTCCCAATAGAGTATAGATGTAAAGTCAGACTACAATCAGGGACAAAATGGTTGAGACATCCTAAGGCAGCATGCAAAGAAAGTAGTGTTCGATAGCCCGGGGCTAGTGGATTTTGCCAGCGGGCTAGTGAATTCTGTTTTTAACCTGCCCGACGGGCAAGTGATGTTTTTTGAGGAATTCGAATAACAAAAGAACTATGAAATCAATTCTGCTAGTCAAAAAGTTTTTGGGGCTAGTTGAAATGACATCTGGGCTAGTAAATGGTAGCTTCAGTTTGCCCGAATGGCAAGCTGTAAAAATGATTTTCTTTGCACCCTGCTAAGGGATAACTTTGGACAACAAAACAATCCACACCCCTCCCCCCTGAAAAGGAAAATACTGTCTGCTAGTTTCATACAGTCAACTTTCTCTAAGACAGACACCTCTGGGACCAACACCAAGTGTCGGTCTTAAAGAGATGTCTGGTGTCCGTCTTATAGAGTTGTCCAACAAGAGAGACTCAACTGTAGTAATTCTTTTCTCTTTACAGTTGTGGACATCAGGAGATGGCGAAAATGAAGACACCGAGGACAAAGAGTGAACGCTGTTGCCTTTGAAGTAGCCTATTTCAACAGATAATAAATTCTATGTCCCTTCATTATTAATCCAAATGACTGTTTGTATGCCCAGGCAGTGATCACCATGGCTTGCTTTTCCTCACCCCTACCTTTCCTGAACCAAATTTTGTCATGTTAAGTTGAATGATGAATGTTGTTTCCCCATCTTTACTAAACCTGCAGGATGATTTTAACTGTAGATAATTTGTGATGAAGACCGTGGCTGAAGTGGCAATGTCACCAATATGATTCTGTTGAAGACATCCTGTTGGGTTCCAGGGTGATTGTTTCTAAGCTTGTGATGAAGTGTTAGTGGTGGATGAGTAGAAACCGTTGTGGGGTCGTCTTACTCTTGTCCACATGTAAACCAAGGGCATGTATGTGTTTGATTTCTGATCTTGTCTCAATTGAAACAAGTTGTTTTGGAGGCGGAAGTGCAGTTTTCCAGGCAATGTAGTCATTTTGTTAATCAATAAATGTAAGTTATCCTTTGTGTGTCACTATTTGTGTTGCCCTAACCTGTTCCTATGGACCCAGGGTGTGCATGATGTAGGAAAGTTTCCTGGGTAGGTGAGTTATCCCTAGTAGAGCATTTACAAGGCAGGTAGGGTAACCCTCTTGCTAGGGTAACCTTAGCACTCAGGTAGGGTTACCTTAGTGCTAGGGTAACCCTACCTGTCTTGTAAACACGTCGTGTAAAAAAAGAAGAAATGTCTGAGTGCCAGGGTAACCCTTCTGCTAGGGTAACCCTAGCACCAGGGTTACCCTCCATCCTTGTAAACAGGTCCTTCGACATAACAAATACTGTCATATTAGCACTGAAACCTTGACAGTTGATAGCCAATCAGATTTGAGAGTTGTTATAGTTATGATTAAGCGTGAAAGTGGTGTTTTCGCTTCGGCCTGTCTTGGCAGTAGACAAAGTAGGGCAAAATTACGCTACCCTCACCTTAAATCAAGGAACTTAAGAAAAGGTTTAGGCTTCAATGGGTGGGGGAGGGGAGGCAAGGGGATTTGGAAAATTGTGTGTACCTCTGGGAAAATCCTGGCTACGCCCCTTAAACGCATTTAACCTCTGAGATATCAGTCGTCCATGAACCTTTTTAGCCCCAAGATCCACATACAAATTCTCCAGACTGATCTCCATACATTTCTTTTAAGAATAGTTGAGAGAGTTGGTTTAAGATCAAAGCATTCTCCCTTTGATAATCAATT